GCAGTTCATCAGTCCAAAAGAAGTGAAATAAAGCACATCCATCCATAATAAAAAGTGCCTCACACAGCTCCGGGGGGTGAACAAAGGCCTCCTGTAGCGAATCGATGCGTTTTTGTAAGAAAAATAACCATATTCAAAACGTAATAATCAATTTAATTTAGCTTGCGCTCACTGTTGTACACGGAAGCAGCTCCGGACGGATGACGTAGGATGTCGGCGTTGCGCATGCGCTGCTCAGAAGTGACGAATGCGGAAGCCCAGGGGAGAGATCAAAACAAAACAATGGTCATGAATTAGAAGAACAAAACGAGGATTTGTAAAGAAGAATGTCGGAGGATTTCGATATAAGCCAAGAGGAGACTGGAGTGTTTATTTTAATACAGAATTTATTATTTCTCAGAAATCTCCATTTCAGCAGCACTTACACCTAACTTTTCATGTTTATTCCTATCTATATTCCTATCTATGTGTCATTTGCCCGATTTATATAACACTTCATCTGTTTGTGTCTGTAGATTTCAATTATGATACGTATCTTTAAAGGCCATTTTCTCAAAAAGAGTTTTTTTTCTCCTCCACTAAGTCAGAAATCACCAGGTTTTTAAAGGATTTTAAAGAGTTAGTTGTTATTTGCCTTCTTTATATAACATTTTATTCCTAAAAACATGGTGAAAATGTATTTTGTTCCGGATGTTGACAGTATTTTCTGATTTATGGAGTGATAAAAAGAACAGAATAAAAATAATTTTAAACTTGGATTTATCATATGTTCAGATTTCTGTTCTGGAAATGCATAAAAGTTAGTGCACATTTAATTACATAATGCATCATTTGCATATTTAAACATAATATTTCAGAAAACTTGTAATATAAAACAATTGTCTTAATGTACTGTGATTAATCAACCTGTGATAGTATGGTCATATCAGTTCAATTTTTTACCCTATTCACCAGTAGTTTCTCACCTTAAGGATATAGTACACATACCTCTGTTATGGCTGAACTGCTTTCATGTGAAATGAGTAACAACAATAGTTTAGCTTCCACAAGTGTTCTGGGTGGATTGAAAATGTTGTGAATGTGAGCATGTCGACTTAGTAGATGAAACTCTCAAAAAAGCAAGAAAAATCCTATTTTGCATGATATGTCGCCTATAAGACACTGTTTACTTGTGGTAATAATTTTAAATGATTTTAGGATGTGTAGATGAATGAAACTGTCAGATTTAATGTAGTAATTCATGTATTGATCATTTCAGTCTCAGGATAAGTCCACTGGAGGATTGAATCCGGAACCATGTCCCATCTGCGCTCGACCGCTGGGTCAGGAGGTAAAATCAAAGCAAAAATGAATCTGTCAAGTGTATATATGCAAGTATATACTCTATACTCTGAACATGACTTGTATGTGTTTTTATTGTCAGTGGGCCGTACTGACCTGTGGACACTGTTTCTGTAACGAGTGCATCGCTATCATCGTGGAGCAGTACAGCGTCGGCAATCGACGGAGAGCCATAAAGTGTGCCATATGCCGTCAAACCACTTCACATTCAGAGATCTCGTATGTGTTCACCACTCAGAGCGCCCACCAGGGGCAGGACATCCCTGTGAAGGTCAGAGACAATTCTTGCTTTATCTAGGCGTTTAATATGTATTTTACAGTGTAAGTAAACTGTATTGCGACTATGTGACATTTTCAGTCAGGTCAGATATGATTTGTAGAATATCTGTAATCTCTTTCCCCTGTAGGGTAGCCACTCCACGAAGGTCGAGGCTGTGGTTCGAGTCTTAAAGAAAATCCAGATGACCGACCCGGGAGCCAAGTCTCTTGTGTTCTCCACGGTAACGCTCTCATTAAATGAGTTGCTACATCAAACACCAGACTACAGCTCTTAACCTCTGACCTTACATTTACGCCTCGTCTCTCAGTGGCAGGGCGTCCTGGACATCATTGCGAAAGCCCTTTTCGACAACAACATGGAGTTTGCACAGATCAACGGAATTCACAAATTTCAGGTTTGTGTTGAATATGAGGAAACTGTTTTCTCCCTTTCTTTTCTGTAATTGCTTAAATATGTTATTATAAAATGAGTAGATCCAGCACCAAAATGAGTGATGTGAGGGATTACCCAAAGTGTTTTTTAAAAATATGTTTATATTTAATATTAAATGAATTTAATAAATTATTTATTTATAAATGAGACCCAGAACTCTAGAAATTAATGAATATTTTTTGAAAATGTTTTTAAAATATATATTTATATTTAATAATACAATTAATTATTTTATTTTACATGGGGCAAAACTTGTTTATTTGTATATAAATGAGACAAAATTCTAGAACTTGAACTGATTTTTAAGCTGTTTTTTTTTTTTTAAATGTTCTTTTAGTTAATTAAACTCTGGAATTTAAATGAATAAATTTTGAAACTGAAACTATTCAACCAGTTGAACAGAGTTAATAGTTGACGACAAGAATCTCAAAATTGCCAAATTTTGTTAATCGGGCAGCTTGGTTATACCTAGTTATCACTACACTTCTTTAACCATTAAGCACAAATGTGAAATTATGATTATTGCATTCATTTTTAGGAGAACCTGAGTGCTTTCAAATACGAGGAGAGCATCAACATCTTGCTGCTGCCATTGCACACAGGCTCAAATGGGCTAAACATCATCGAAGCGACGCATGTGCTGCTGGTGGAGCCCATTCTAAACCCTGCCCACGAGCTGCAGGCCATAGGAAGAGTGCACCGGATTGGCCAGACCAAGTAGGCATCAACCCAATCATATAACATTCAACACAACACATGCTGCTGACATGAGTTTGATTCTGACTGCAGCTTTTCTCTCATATCAGTTAAAATGGCACAAATTCCAAAAAAGGTTTTTGGAATATTTAAAGGATTAGTTCACCAAAAAATGTGCTCACCCTCAGGCCACCCAAGATGTAGAGTTTGTTTCTTCATCTAAATATATTTGGAGAAATGTAGCATTGCATTACTTGCTCACCATTGGATCCTCTGCGGTGAATGGGTGCCGTCAGAATGAGAGTCCAAACAGCTGATAAAAACATCACAATAATCCACAAGTAATCCACACCACTCCAGTCCAGCAATTAATGTTTCATGAAGCAAAAAAGCTGTGTAAAGAAACAAATCCATCATTAAGGCATTTTAACTTTAAACCGTTGATTCTGGCAGTATTTCAATCTGATTTCAACCTCTTATTTGAGTCTTCTGGCTCAGTTTTGCCATGTTGTAACAGCCACACCAGTTCATTTAAACCGTTGATTCTGGCCACAATACAAGTCTATAATCCATAATAACACTTCCTCCAAGGAAAAAGAGATGTTATTAGTAAATTATTAAATTATTCTTATTATTTCTACAGACCCACATTCGTTCATCGGTTTCTGATCAAGTCCACAATTGAAGAGCGGATGCAAGCAATGCTTAAAACAGCAGAAAAGAGGTAAGAGTCTGACACATAAGGAGGGTATTTAAAATAAATAGTCTTTGAAATCAGAATCAAACTATTGTGGTTTTTAGTCCATGTTTATCCCTCTAGAACTAGTTTACTCCAAAAAGTTTTTTTTTTTCTAAATATGTCCCACCCCAATTTCCTGGTTTAAAAGGAAACTCATCAACACAGGATAAAAAAAATGTGTTTGTCAAGCAATTTAATGGGATCTTTAAATACATATAATTTTACACTCTGGCCTTCTGTAGATTGTTTTTGCTTTGTTTACTGAAAATGACCTTGACTGATCTGTCTCAAACCAACATCACCTTCAGTCATAGTTCCACGTCTATGAAGCATTCGGAGGCCTCCGTGTTTACAGTGGCAGACCTGGCCGAGCTGTTCACAGAGGACAGCGAGTCTCTTGAGTAAATGTCTCTCCAGACCTGCCAGTCCAAAGGCCAGTAATGTGAACACTACACTAACACCAGCCAGGAGACGAGCCGTCCTCTGCTCTCCAGCTCTCCTATATGTTTGCTTTGCACATTCCCCTTTCTATATGGTCTGTCCCATGGTGTAATTTATTCATGATATTCAATGTGAAAAAGCAACTGATTTGATGAACCGTTTCAGTCCTGTATCTCCGTTTGTTTTCTAGATTTATAGTGGGTGTAATTTTTATTAATGCCATGTTGTGCATAAACAAATGATTTTTAATATGATTTTAATGAACCGGATTGAAATTATAATGCTGTACAGTGCATTGGTTTTGACATTAGCACTCGTGTATTTGTGATTGATTGAACAAACCTTTTATAAGAACCCACAGTAATCACAGTTTGTCAGTCTGTGCTGTAAAGTCGATTAAAAAAACACATGTGACATTTTATTGGAATTGTGCTCTTGTCCTGGTTTATTTTTTAATTTAAATGCATTTTATGATGTTCAGGAAGGAAATTGCTTGATTTTACAGCACTGATCCTTGTTGGAGCATCTTCCGTTCAGACGCTCCTTTCAGTGGATTGTCTGTGCAAAGTTGTAGCAGACAATTTTGAACATTTATCTGGTGCTATTTGCAAAACAAAAGACTTGTGATTCAGTTTCCGTAAAACCCATCTAATAAAGAGCACTTGTAAAAAGTAAAACCAGAAAGTAAAAGGAAAGAGACTTTCTTTGTCCTAGAATGGACAAGGGCAGACGGAGCAACTGAACTCTTTCTGTCAAGCTGTACGAAAATGCAAAATATCTTTCATGTCCGGTTGTGAAAACCCAAATACAGTATTGTACATTTTCTCAAACTTAAAATTGTCTCAAATGGAAAAAAAAACAATGATTTGTCAACAGAGGAATTAACCAGAAATAAATGTTCTGTTTACAAGAAGAGATGCATTTTGTTGTATATTTCCTTTGAATTTTGTGTAGTTAGCAATGTAAACATTTTCTTTTTCAGGAAAATGCTTAGCAGACTAATCATTTTATTTTATATATCCCCTGAAAATGCATTGATTGCAATGCCATCGTTTCACATTTTGGCATCTAACATTTGAAAATCTCCCTCACAAGGTTGAAAGACTGTCCTCTCTCTCTGTCCAAACAGTCTTAAAGACATCAACTCCATGGCTAAGGTGTCAGTGAACTGCCCTTGACTCAGTGTGACGGGATTTCTTTTCAAACAAGTCGTTGGGGTTCCCGAAACAGTAAAGCGTTTGCCATGCCCTATAAAACCCCATACAGACAAAAGAGTGAGATAAAACAAAACACCTCCCCTGTACCTCCATTCCCTTTGCATGACAAACAAACTCCTTGTCGACCAACGCACTGAGACGTACAGTGCGCAGTCTGCTAAGTGGGTTGTCAGTAGAATTTTTTTTCTGCTTTTGCCTGAAATCTAGTTGGTCGGTGTAACCTTGGACTCCCCCCAACTTGTGCTATTCATGTGTGGAATCTCACTGTTGGTGTGGACATCATTCAAGCTGGTATTCCAAAGCAACTGGAGGTTCCCACTTCATTAGAGCTGTGTTTCGGAGGGCTGGAGAGAGCGCAAGCACTACGTCTGTCTCTGACAGCTAGTCGAGGTGATAACCGAGAAGATTTGGTGGAAAGGGCCGAAGACGGAACTAAATTTCAGGAGAGAAGAAGCCAGAAAGGCTTTAAGGATGACACCTGCTACACTGGCACTGACATGGTCTTTGCTCTCAATATGGACAGTAACTTCTGCTGTGCAGATTGAAGAAGAAGGTAAGTCTGATTAAACACATGCAACCCAAACTATTTCTTGTAAAGCCAGCAAAAGGTTAACGCAGCTTAGAGAGGAGACGAATTCCCTCCTTCTCCCCCTTTCGGAGTTTTACAAGCTTTTTTCATACTTGCTGGTTAAAAGTAGGCTGTCTTTGGATTAGAAAAATAAAATCCTTGGCTGTTGAAATCAGCTGCTTTTGAGAATGCGATCAAGAGTGGCAGTTTTCTGTCCCTTGTACTTGCAGGATTGATTTAAACTGAAAAATGTGAGGCAAATGGCACTAACATTTGGTGACCGTGTCGAGAAGATGCTTGTTCACTGAATCAGGAGGTGTGTTTGTAGTGGTCGGGGAAATAAAAGAGCTATAAAGTTTGTTTTACCGGATGTGGTAGGGGACAATTTAGTCCCTTCAATAGCACGTTGTTTCCTCACGTTGACCTTTAACTTTTTACGTTTTATTGGCCCGTGAATGTCACTCAGACATTATTAAACTCAATAATTATTATGCAAATTGAAGTTAGACGAGACAAAATATCTCAAAAGACTTTCAATGTAAACTGGAAAAGGAACATTGATCAAGATAAATTATGAATTTTAGCTAGCCTAGCCTGTACGTTTACAACCATTTGAAGGTTATTTGATGTCTGAAGGTTATTTATCTCATATATAGTTTGAATACTTGGACAGTTTGAAGAAAATTTTGAAGTTTGAAGCTTAATTAAACTCTGATATACTCATTACTATATGCATTGGTATGGATGGATGGATGGATGGATGGATGGATAGATAGATAGATAGATTTACTCAATCATTAAAAGTATTTTATTTTTAATTTCTGTTTCATGTTTTCCCCAGGCATCAGATGATACTCATATCATGTTCACCAACACGATCCGCAACAATGAAACCGATATCATCACCAGAAGTTACATCAATATCACATTTGGGTGTCGATACCCCATAAACTACATGGTTCAGCAGCAAAACGGGGAGAATCTGATCAGAGTGGATGTGAGGTGAGCTTCTGCAAGTCATGACATCACCATTTAATTAAGTCTGCAAGTCCTTTAGGTTCAAAGCTCAGTCTCTGGGACTGCAGCACTCCATATGTAGTAATGGTTTTAATTATCACTATTTTTCCAAGCTTAAAAAAGGCCGAGCCCTTCGTCACTAATTGTTTGTTTGTATGTAAACACAATACAGGAAGCTAATGATAACAAAAGACTGCCCTGGGGTCCAACTCCAAGAGTTTCATTCAATATTCATTGAGCGAACCTTTCAGCCTCTTCAATGAGCCTTTTAACATTCTCTGCCCCGCAGGACAATCACTCTGAACACAGAGGATGGAAATTTCTCGGTCTCCATGCTGCTGTATAAAGACGAAGAGTTTCAGGATAAATGGACCACTGTTCCTTCTCTCACACTTGAGGACAACATCTATGTCAAAGTTTACATGGTGTGTGTCTCGCTGAATAGATGACATTACTCACTACAAGCTACTGGGGGCTTTCATGAAAGCTGCCATGTGTTTTCTTTATGCGGCAGTTAAGAACTGTTTGGCTCTTTGTTTTCAGATGAATAGAACATCTATCTATCTATCTATCTATCTGTATATCTATCTATCTATCTCTATCTATCTATCTTTTGTTCGTTCTTCGTTCGATGGTTCTATCTATCTATCTATCTGTCTGTCTATCTACCTGTATGTCTATCTGTATATCTATCTATCTATCTATCTATCTATATTTTGTTTACAAGCTACTGGGGGCTTTCATGAAAGCTGCCGTGTGTTTTCTTTATGCGGCAGTTAAGAACTGTTTGGCTCTTTGTTTTCAGATGAATAGAACATCTATCTATCTATCTCTATCTATATTTTGTTCGTTCTTCGTTCGATGGTTCTATCTATCTATCTATCTATCTGTCTGTCTATCTACCTGTTTGTCTATCTGTATATCTATCTATCTATCTATCTATCTATATTTTGTTTGTTCTTCTTTTGATGGTTCTATCTATCTATCTATCTATCTACGTTTTGTTTGTTTTTCATTCGATGGTTCTATCTATCTATCTATCTATCTATCTACCTGTATGTCTATCTGTATATCTATCTATCTATCTATCTATATTTTGTTCGTTCTTCTTTCGATGGTTCTATCTATCTATCTATCTATCTATATTTTGTTCGTTCTTCGTTCGATGGTTCTATCTATCTATCTATCTGTCTGTCTATCTATATTTTGTTAGTTCTTCTTTCGATGGTTCTATCTATCTATGTTTTGTTCGTTTTTCATTCGATGGTTCTGTCTATCTATCTATCATCTATCTATCTGTATGTCTATCTGTATATCTATCTATCTATCTCTATCTATCTATCTATCTATATTTTGTTCGTTCTTCGTTCGATCCATCTATCTGTCTGTCTGTCTGTCTGTCTGTCTTTTATTCATTCTTCTTTCGATGGTTCTATCTATCTATCTATCTATCTATATTTTGTTTGTTCTTCGTTCGATCTATCTATCCATCTGTCTGTCTGTCTATATATTAAGTATATTTCTAATAATTCTTAGAAAAACTGTTTGTACTAGAATACTAGAAAATACTATTTTTTACTAATATTTCTTTCTACTCAAATCGACTAAATAGATATAGGAAAGATTTCATGTACACAAATCCAAAAAATTACTTTGAATCAAAAATTAAACATGCCAGTCAAAATTCTGTCATTATAAATTGATTGATCCTATAACTTGTGGACAGAATATGTACCAATAATGTACCATCTTTTTACTTGTAAGATGCTGGCACATATTTTGTATATCTGCATATGAGCAATAATTATTTTGTAATGGAGTCACTACTTTAAATGTGCTAATGAAGCTTTTTATCCTGCAGATTCCAGCAAATCTGTTTCTGAGAGTGGAGAGGTGTTGGGCCACACCAACCAATGACCCTTACAGCAACATTCAGTACACCTTAATCAGGAACAGGTCTGGGACATGAGCTTTTGCCTTTCAAGAATTTCATTTTAGTGATTTAAAAGCTAATTTTGTTTATTAACTCTTTTTTATTGTCTTCTGTGTAAATGCCCTCCTTCACAGCTTCATTATTCCTTTGCTCAGGTTTTAAATGTTCATTGAATCATAATTATCACCAGAGGTGTGAAAGGGTGTTGTTGAGACATGCCGTTGAAACCGTTGCTAAAGGAGCTGATGACAAAACAAAGTATGCAGCTACAGTCATGTGACGACTGTCAGCGGCCGTATGCATTGCAGTTTAACAGCTGTGCTTGTCCTTGACTACCCAAAGAGATTCTCCACCAGGAGAAAGCTATGAAGCATGCAGTTTCTGTGAACAATAGGGAAAACAGATCCAACTTAAATATCAATCCCTTGAGTACAAATATCACACTGACTAACATTTCTCTTCACATCAGCTGTCCAGTGTTGTGGAACGACGAGACACTAGCTGTGATGAAGAATGGTCAAGGACCAGAAGCTCTGTTCAGGATACAAATGTTCAAGTTTGTTGGCAGCTCCTACACGGATGTTTTCCTGCATTGCAACGTCCAGATCTGTCATAACACAGGAGTGTGCCAGCCTGTGAGTTCCCATCAACACATATATACTGTCCAAAGAAAGAAGTCACCATGCATTGATTTGATTAAAAACACAGTAAAAACAGTAATATTGTGAAATATTATTACAATTTAAAATAACTGTTTTCTATGTTAATATATACCAAAATGTAATTTATTCCTTTGATGCAAAGCTGAATTTTCAGCATCATTACTCCAGTCTTCAGTGTCACATGATCCTTCAGAAATCATTCTAGTATTCTGATGTGCTGCTTAAGAAACATTCTTATTATTATCAATGTTGAAAACAGTCGTGCTGCTTAATATTTTTGTGGAAACAGTTATACGTTTTTTAGAACTCTTTGATGAATAGAAAGTTCAGAAGAACCGGTTTTATTTGAAATAGTATTTTTGTATCTATGTAAAAAATCTTTACTGTCAATTTTGATCAATTTAGTGCATCCTTGCTGGATAGAAGTATTAGTCTTACTGACCTCAGACTTTTTAATGGTAGTGTACCTATCCCAACACCCATCTGTCAGGGTCTAAAATTGGACAAAAACACCATAAAAGTAGTCTATATGACTTGCATATGCAAGTCTTCCAAAGTCCTAAAAGGACTCTTTGATGAATAGAAAGTTCAGAAGAACAGGTTTTATTTGAAATAGTATTTTTGTATCTATGTAAAAATCTTTACTGTCAATTTTGATCAATTTAGTGCATCCTTGCTGGATAGAAGTATTAGTCTTACTGACCTCAGACTTTTTAATGGTAGTGTACCTATCCAACACCCATCTGTCAGGGTCTAAAATTGGACAAAAACACCATAAAAGTAGTCTATATGACTTGCATATGCAAGTCTTCCAAAGTCCTAAAAGTCTTTAATCCTGCACTTTTTTAAAAAATTGCCAATTTGAATCATCAACCATCCTTTTATATTCCACAGACAAGAAACATACCAATTTTGAACAATATGTGGGTAAATAAATAATGTAGATTTTCTAGTTTTGATGAATTTTTCCTTTAAAAATATAGTTGAGAAACATTGTTTGCATCATAGTAACTTTAAACCCTTGGTGCATCACAGAACTGCTCTGCTGAAGATGCATCAGTACGGACACGTAGGGATGTTGCATCGTCTCACACAGTCTCATATGGACCAATCAGAAGACACAAAACTAACATGGAGAATACTAATCTGAGTAAGTCTTGTAAACTCTCGTGTCTTCATCAGAGTCACCATACTCGCCAATGTGCTCAAACCTATTTGAACATCTCCTCTTCCAGGTTCAGATTTGCCCCCTGTGGAAACCTTTGTGTTGGGTGGTCTGCTGGTCATCCTGATTGTCATCACAGGAGTTTTTGGGAAACTCTGGCTGCAGAGCAGAAACTCGTATCCGACCCAAGAGGCCCAGCTCACTCTCTCCAACATCCACCATATCTCAGAAGTGGCCAGCTAACTTGGGTTCTCATATACACACAGTGTTGTGCGAATTGCGTTCAGTTTGAAAGTTTTGTCTGCTAACCTGTAGTGCATTTTTTAGTAGTTGTTCTTTTTGTCTTTTATTGTGAAATAAATAAAAAAGCTTTTTGAATTCCTAAAAGCTTACTTCATATACTGTTCAAAATGAAATTTTGAGACACTTTGTGGATGAGAATCATCAGTTAAACATGATTATAGTTAATGTGATGATCTCCACCTGTGGCTCATCTGCTAGAACACCTGTGTGAACTTTAGGAGAACTAAACATCACCATCCGCTGATTCACAAAAGACATTGTGCAAAAATGACGACGAACAGTAAAGTCAGTGAAAATCTGTAGTCTAGATCTTGGTTTAATATTTTGTTATTTATGCATTTTAAAGTGTGACTTAAGTTTACAAATACATTTTTCATGGTCACTTTACAACATTGTTTTATCTGACCACAATTCTTGCTTAAAAAATGAAGGGTAAAGTAGATATTTGTATAATAATTCATTACCATTGGTAGGCTAACCATCTTCATTAGTTATGTAATGATTTCAATAAAGTAAACAATAGTATTTGATATGACCAATAGTACCCTAAACACATTTAATACCATCGATTTGCATGAATGAATAACTAGGGCAAGATTTAAATGTCTCCCCAACATTTAACAATATCAACACTCATAAAGAGGATTAATGAAAAGAATGTGTTTTTTCCAAATGTACTGAAACAAATCTACTGATATCAACAGGTTACCATGAAGATTAGTGTAAGTGTAAAGTAAATATTTCAAATAAGTATGAAAACCATTGTGACTATGAGAATATAGCTTTAGAAAAAATGTAGGCTACATCTGATTCAGAACTGTACAACAGGAAAAAATAAAATGACAAATTGGTAATGGTGTAATATACCGTGGTACGTTAAATGGTACTCCAAAATACTAATCAGTATTGTATTATGGTACGTGTGTGTGTATGTGTGTGTGTGCGCGAGCGCTTAGTCTCCGCCCATCTATGGGCCTCAGTTCAGTTCAGTGTATCAGTAGAGAGACAGATTTCAACAGAAACACAGACAGCAGTGAAAACAACATCACTGTCATTATACTCGATTAAATATTAATATTTTTTCATTAAATAAACACTATCCTCATTAAACTACTGAAGACTCGTTACTGATCAACGGTAAGTCACTTTCATGTTTGTTTACTTTGAGTAACGTTAGTTTTCTCACCGGCTCCGACCTAATAGACCCGGTCTTTGTTAATATCGCAAAATATTTTTTTTTTTCCTCTTACTAATATGATAAATGTTCATCAGTATACAACGTTTATTCATTTCTTATGTGTGTAGTTTTCATTTAATCTTGCATTTCGCGGCTAACCAGCTAATGCTAAAGGCTTTGTGTTTGTCAGTTTAACGAATTAAAACCTTTACCTGTCATAATGTAAACATAAAGATGTTTGAGGATGGTTCGTTGGAGTTAAATCGTTGATTATTGATCTATATGGGTTAATAGTACTGTCAGGTTCATGTTGTCAGTCGTTTTACTCTTAAGAAGAACAACAAAAGCTGCTTCAGTTTCATGAGTTTGACTGGATTGAGTTCAGTGCAGAGCAAGAGCATGTCATATTTGGGAAACATTTCACGTTTAGTGTCAGATCATATGTAGGATTGTGTCATGCTTGGGATTATTAGGATCATCGTGTGTAGGACCATGGTTATGTCATGTTTAGGATGATGCATCATATGTCATATTTGGTGTCATGTCATGTTTATGAAAATTAGGATCCACAGGTTATAGGCCCTTGATTACTAAGAGATAATTAACTCAGTTGTCAGCTATCAATTATGGCATATAAGCAATTGTCATTAATGAAAATAATAAAAATATTTAAAAATAATAATAATACAATTAATAATAATGAGATTTAACTATTTAATGATCTGTTTTTTAATATGTATTGAGCTTATTCTGTAACTGACATATACCTTAAGCTAAATAGTGTAGGCTGGCTTGAATAATAAAATTCTGAATATTTTATATAACATTCAGGTTTTAAAAACATTTCAGTAACACTTTACAATAAGGTTCCATTAGTAAAAGGACATTAACTAACATGAACAAACCATGAACAATACATTTATTACAGTATTTATTCATCTTTGTTAATGAAAATACAGTCGTTCATTGTTAGTTCATGTTAATTCACAGTGCATTAACTAATGTTAACAAGCAAAAAAAAAATTTTTTGTAATAATGCATAAGTAAATGTTGAAGTTAACATTAGCTAAGAATAATAAATGCTGTAGATGTATTGTTCATGCTTAGCTCATGTTAACTAATAAATGCTGTAGAAGTATTGTTCATGCTTAGCTCATGTTAACTAAAGTAGTTAACTAATGTTAAATAATGAACCTTATTGTAAAGTGTTACCAATATTTCTTTTTTTTCTCCACTTTGGTTGTGATAGTCCTTTTTCATTCTCTTGTTTCAAGGAATGCATCCCATTTGGAAAATTAAATTAAGATTCAAATGTATTATTATGCAGCAGTTATACATTTTTGTCATATTTTCCTGAATTTTATACAGTAAAGTGGTTCATTTAAGCATTACTCTTGTTGTTGTTTGTTGTTGTTGTTGTTGTTGTTTGTTGTTGTTGTTGTTGGAGGAAAACTGTAGGAAGACATTAGCTCATTATGAATCATCACCGTACCTGTTGTTAAAAAAGTTTGTCAATGTGCTCTCTACTTGGCAATTACTTAGCAATTTTTGTTTTTTGATTGCTATATGTGTAAAATTAACCTATAATAATAATTCCAATTGGATTGCATTTTATTTTGTGATTTGCTGGACTGATAAGCTGACTTTTCTGTTCCAATAAAAGCACAAAATAAAATGCAACCAAATAAGCCTCTGTTTCTGATACACATTTACAGATTATCAGTTTGAATTATGATTTTGTTTCTTAAACATGTCTAATAATAAACAAAAAATGGTTTATAATTGTCAGTTGTGCAAGCTTTGAACCATAAGTTATTGCACAAAAATGTAGCCTACCTCTGTACAGCCACAAATTTGAGCCCCTCTAAGATGAATCCTGAAGTCATGTTATGTTTGGGGTCATACTGACATGTTGTAAGCATGCTGTCTGTTGTAAGTCCTTATGAGTGATTGCTTGTGCAACTGTATGCCATATTGCACATGAGCACTAGATACCAAACACCTAAGTATTTAGAAAACATCCTCGGATGTGTTTTGCTGTTTCAAAAGAAGCCATCACAAGACGTCTCAGACTAACATGCCGGCATTGTACACAAATGTTTCGCAATGTTTATGCCCAGCTGGTGTTGCGAGGACTATGTTGAAAGTCATCTTGGTAATTCAAACTTACACCACATCATGACAGACCCCCAGTCTAACTGCTCATGTCCAGCCAAGCCCTGTCATGCTGGAGAGAGAGAAGCTTCTTGAATGACATTGCAAGATCCTTATGGAAGTGTTTCTTTTGAGTGGAAGCCATGACTGATTCCTGTAACATACCGTTCAGAAACAAGGGGTCATGTTCCTTCTAAGTCCTCGAAGAACCAGCGTGACCGTGCAACTTTAGGACAGTTGTGAAATGGCAGTGCAATGGTTTAGTAATTTGGTAAACATACTGCGAGAGGGCAACGGGGTCTGATTTACACTTATCCCTTTTAAGAGACGGGGAGACTTTCCACAAGAATGGCGTACATAGATTTTAAGCCGTGTGGTGTTGTACACAAAGTGTGTGTCCAAAATAAAATCAGGTCTAACGATCTGTTTTCTTTTCTTCCACAGTGTTTGCATAGCGTCTTTCAGTTAAGCGACTCACTAATATTTGCAATGGAGGAGCTTCATATCCATTGCCTGAAATGTGTCAACCGCCGATGTATGATAAGACCTGAACCTAATGTTTCCTGTGACCTCATGGGTTGCCCTCTTGTGTGTGGAGCAGTTTTCCACTCATGCAAACTGAATGAACATCGCTTGCTGTGTCCATACGAAAGAGTGCCGTGTCTGAACTGTGGATTCGGATGTCCGTTCAACCTTGCCAGAGTCAAAATGGCACAGCACCTTGAAACGTGCCCAGCCAGCGTTGTGTGTTGCACTATGGAATGGAATCGATGGCCAGTGAGTTACGCAGATCGCAAGTCCTACGATAACTTGAGTAAGGAGGTTTGTGACGTGGAGCAGCTCGACATGGCTTTGGCCCTCCAGGATCAGCGGATGTTGCTGGAGTCGCTTAAAGTGGCGACCACTGTGACAAAAGCTCTAGAAGAGCAAAATCAGGACAGTTCCAGCCACCAGGAGTCGAACCCTGAAAATGAATTCATTGAAACGGATGAGGAACCGTATGGTGGACCTTACACAACTTCATTGGAAAACCGTAGAAGCTTTGCCGTCACTTTGGACGTCCTCCGGAGTGCAAAAAATATTGACTTCATTGTGGAGAATACCAATGGTGAGGAACAGAATGGAGGTTGCAGCGGTGTCAGGAATGGCGATGGGGAGTTTAGCAATGACACAACAAAGGAAAGTGACACTGATTCTGATTCTGATCTGGGAGCGGTAGGTGGTGCTGATTGTCCTTTTCCAGTAGACCCTGAAGATGAAAGAGATGATTGGTTGGAGAACAGTGGATGCGGTGAATCTTCTGAAGAAGAAGGCGAAACGAATGGTGGGATAGAACTCAATGAACTTCTTAATGAAGGGGACGGTGACAGCCAGGTCAGACTTGAAAGGGTCAATGGCTCTTCAAATGCAAGGCAGGTTTTACCTGATCATTCCATACCTGTTCTAGCACAGGAGCCTGAAATGGCCCACTTGCCTCAGCTACCTCTTCCTTTGCCCATCCCTGTGCCTAACCTGATGCACAACAATGTTCTGCACCATTTGCCTTTCAGAATTGAGGACCGATGGCTGGAGCGCAAGTTGGAAAATCTCCAGGCACTCAGGGGAATGAACTTGTTTACAATCAAAGGGCGAAGGACTCTTTTTTCCGACCCCTATTTATTCAAAGCTAAGATGGAGGACAAGGCGGTGGACACGTCAGACCTTGAG